TAACCTCTCAGGTCTGGGATTATCCGTATGAATCTCCTTTGCACCCTCTGTGCGTCTACATCCTTTCTATAATGTGGGGACCAGAACTGCACACAGCATTCTAAGGTTCTATAGAAGTTTACCATAATTTCCCTGCTTTTCATTTCTATCCCTCTAGAAATGAACCCCAATGCCTGATTTGCTTTTTTTTATGCCTTATTAACCTGCGTTGCTACTTTTAGTGAATTGTGTATGTGTACCCCTTGGTCCCTTTGCTCCTCTAGGTTTTTATTTTACAGGATATATGTGACTTCCTTATTTCTTCTACCAAATTGTATCACCTCACACTTTTCTACATTGAAATGCATTTGCCATTTAAATGTCCACTCAGCAAGTTTATTAATGTCTTGCTGTAATTTGTTGCAGTCCTCCTCTGTATTAACTACTCCCCCCAATTTGGTAGCGTTCTCAAATTTTGAAATCTGAGGGCATTGATTAAACGAATGGCCATAGTTGGAAGAAACTTTGAAGAGGACAAATGGAACATAGAATGCTTTTCCCCAACTAGTTTTTTAGGGTTACAACCATAACAGCGATCAAAAGGGAACTTGATAAATATTTAAAAAGGAGGAATAGAAAAGGGAATGGTCGAAAGAACAGGGGATTGGAGGAGTCACCTCGAGTGGATTTGCTGGCATCAACATAGATTTGATAAACTGTGCAAATGCTGTTATTTTCATGAATCTAGTATTTAATGCATTTTAAAAATACTTTATTTATCTGAAAGTCGATAATAATAATAATAATATTTGCATTTGATACAGTGCCTTATCACGTCTTTGAGACATCTCAAAGCGCTTCACAGGATACACTGTAAAGTGTAGTGGCTGTGTGTTTTATGGGCGACATGGGCATGCAACAGAGAATAAAGTTATTTATAGTCAGCATTATTAAGTGGCTGAAAATGAGGTTGTAAAGGGCACTTTAATGGCAGAATAAATACCTTAGAATGTGAGGTGCCTCTCCCCAAAGGAACCCCATGAGAGCACAACTCTGAGGTCATCTACAAGGCATTTCTCAACCACAATGTTTCACTCTGGATTAAATGCTATTTGTACCTTTGACTACCGTGCTTATTTTGACCTGCTGTAAACATATCGTATGCCATGAGGGCTGAAGTCCCACCTGCAATGACGGCTCTGAAGGACCTGGCACCTTGGGGAGACATGATTTCAGTCAACAACAACTTGCATTTATATAATGCCTCTCATGCAGGGTAGCGTCCCAGAGCACTTGACAGTGAGGGAGCACGACTCCGAGCTTGGGAGAAGGGAGGTGACATTTATTCCTTTCCTGCACCAAGCAGGAAATGATCTCAGAAATATTGTTTCCTGTCTACAGGAACAATCAGACAAGCCTAGTCTAAGGCTCTTTAGTCTTGATAAAATACATCTTAGAAGTGATCTTAGAGCGGTGCGTAAAGTTTTAAATGGGATTGAAAAAGTAAACACAGATCAATACTTTAGGATTTACCAAGACAGTAGAGCAAGAGGACACAGGTTTAGAGTTGCAAAAGGCAATTTCAGGACAGACACCAGGCAGTTTTTCTTTATCTAGTGGATAATTAAGGCCTGGAAAAGGTTGCTAGGAAGAGTATTTGAGGGACTCATTTAAAACACAGCTTGATTGGTGTGATGGAAGGATGGGAGAGTGTACATTCTGGAGGATTGAGAAGAGCCTTCTTCATCCGAACTGATCTTGTGATCTCAGAAAACACTTTTAAAGGACAGAAGGCCATTCGACCCATCGTGCCCATGGTGTGAGCAGATAAATTATTGCTCCCTCCTCTCGAAGGAGCAAAGGAACAGTACAAGGTTATCAGAGGCTCTTACCAGGGGTAAGGAAGGATTAAAATCATCACTTTTATTTTTATTACAATGACAGTGGGGATTATGTGTCAATCACTTAAAATAGCAATGTTTTTGTTGTGTTTATAATGGGAGCCCCTATTTTTACTGATTAATGTGATTGATGGACTCCGGTCAGCAAGTGGTGCTAAATGAATTGATTGATGTTGCTGGCATTAGAATGCCGAGCATAGATCCAAAGACCTTCTGGATTATGATGTGTAAGTTAGATCTGGTGTCAAATTGCCTGTCATCCTTCCCATAATACAATGGCTTGTTCACTGTCAGAGTCGGTTTGGCTCAGATCTGCAGGTTGTGGATTCAAAATCACAAGATCCGTTCGGATAAAGAAAACCGTTTGGCCCATCCAATCTCATCCCTCCACAACACAACAGCAAATTACATTTATATAGTGTCTATCATGTCGGGAGGACGTCCCAAGGCGCTGATCAGTGCAGGGTTTGCTCGCAAGCTGGGGGTTGGGGTCGAGCGGTGGAGGATGAAGAGGTCAAAGGGACGGAGAGGTTCTGAGATGGAGTTCCAGAGAGTGGGCTTAGACAGGCTGCTTTTCAAATGAGTCCCAGCATCCTAGCCTCAATCACGCTTCCTGGTAATCTGTTCCAGTCATTAATTACCCTCTGAGTAAAGCCAAAATTCCTCCTTGTTCTCCTTTCTTGGTACATCCTAAAGTATTGATCTGGGTTTAACCTTTTCAATCCCTTTTAAAATTTGATATACTTCCATAACGTCCCCTCTGATACGTCTTCTTTCAAGCTCCACATCGCAAGGAAGTTCCACATCGTCGCAGGTATCGACCTTCAGACAAAGCATTAAATTGAGGTCCCATCTGCCTATTCAGATGGGCGTTAAAGATCCTAACACCTTACGGTATATCATGTGAAGCGCTTTGAGACGTCTTGACAATGTGATAAGGTGCTGTATCAAATACAAGGATTTTTTCACTGTTGAAAAAGGGAAGGTGATCACTCTCAGTATTCTGACCAGCAAAACTCCAGATAAATTAGTCATTCACCTCAGGGTGTTTTGTGAGAACTTGCTGGTGCTGGTATTAAAAAAATTGCTTTTGACATGAGGTGCTTATAAAAATGCAAGTTCTTCCTTCATTTGTGCAGGATGATTTCCCATTCCTCATTCTTTGCCTGCGAAGCACAGTTTGGGAAATAACAATGAATACTCGGTACACCTCTCCTGCTGGAAGGAATTGTGTTCCTTCATTCAGAATAATAATGGATGGTTTGTGATTGATTATTCAGCCGAAGCATCTATTGCTGTGAGCCAGACAGGTCTGGGCAATAATGGGGGAGAAAACCAACCAGGGACAGGATTTGTGCTATTTTAAAGCCTTTTCAGAGTGTTCACAATTTGGAAAATTGTTGAATTCCATTCTCAACTTTGACATCTGTTTTCTGCACGGTATTTTCATAAAAGAGAATATCTGGCTTCAAAGTGAAGACTATATTTATGAATTGCTGGACGCTTTTAGTTGCTACATAAACAGAGTAAATTGAGATCCAGTTGGATTTTCTCTCCATCATTTCCTAAAGGTGTCAGCCTGGCTCAGTTGGTAGCACTCTCGCCATTGAGTCAGAAGGCCCATGTCGGGACTTTGAACTCAGTCTTCTAGGCTGACATCGCAAAGCCGTGCTGGGGGAATGCTGCAATTTCAGATGGTGCTGCCCTTCACATAAGACATTAAACCAAGGTCCCATCTGCCTGTTCAGGTGCACATTAAAGATTTTGTTGCACTATTCAAAAGTAGAAGAGAGTTTCTCCCAGTGTTCTGGCCAACAATCAATCCCCAGATTAAATCGATCAATCACTTCACGGAATGAAGCTCAGTGACACCCGAGACAGTGACCTGTGACTTGTTCAGGATGTAGAGGCTTGCATGCAGGACAAGATCTCTTTGGAGCTGAACTGGCTCCAAGATGGCATGTTTGCAACAGAATGTCAGATTCAAGCCCACCTTCTGTAGCGGTCTCGGTAGTCCGGTTCCTGAGCCAAGCGGGTCCACAGTATTCCAGAGTGCTGCTGATGACAGCACCGGCTTATCGGCAGGACCTAGAAGGGCAGACCAGTTACTGGAGGCAGAGATTCTACGGGCAGATTTGTCCCTACAAGCCAAAGCCCGAATATCACATACCTCTGCAATTTCCATGTGTAGGTGGGCTACATGGAACTCTCAGTTTGGCCGGGACACTGTTAAGCATGGTGATGAGTTTCCGCGTGTGTCAAACACCCGGCTGATCAAATCAAAATTGCTCCTGTTATAAGGGATTGAGGGATTGAGAGTGGATTAGTAAGCATGTGCTTTGCTTTCATGAATCACAAGCTGTTGTCTGCCTTCCCCTCCCCCTTCCTCTCCGCCCACCCCCCCCCCCCCCCTGCAGTCCTACAACACATGTGCAGACGTCCATCAACTACTTCTCTGAGATCACTGCGCTGAGGGATCCTGAGAACGAACCCACTGTGCCCATGGCCTATTATAGTAGTGCTCGCCGGCATATAAGGCTGTGGGAGGATGAGGTGACCAAGCGAAGAGCTGGAAAGTGTGCTACCCTCCAGCTCGAGCTATCCCATGTGTGCCTTCTGACCTTCTTTGCTGAGAGGTAAGTGTCTGAACCTCTTAGAGAAAAGACCAGCACACGGATTCCTTTCCACTTAAAGCATCTCCCCCAGGGCTCGCGCAGGACAGTGAGGTAAGGGTTCCTTACCTCGCTCAACCAAAGAATGGATTCGGAGAGTTCATTACCTAGGATTATATAACCTAAAAAGATATTTTAACATACAGGAATATTGTAGCGAGTGCTTTACCAAATAAAAGTATAGCCTGAACTCTCCAGTGTAGACCTTTGGCTATATAATTCGCTCAGGGAGGTGATTGATACCGTAGTGGAAAATCAAAGTCTTGTCCCAATAGATTACTATAGAGTGAGAACAGTATGACCACAGTATGACCACACTTATTTTGACCTGATGATGCAATGCTCTATTTCTGGTGCTGAGAAAGAACAACAACAAGGATCATGTGCAATCCATGTGGAAGCCTCTATTTGCTTTTAGGTACAACACACTCACACAAAAAAAAACCCCCACAGAGCAGGGATGCTGTGTGCGAGCTAAACCATATCGGAAAATTACTTGGCCTGTTTGTTTTTGCTTTTGGGCATGGCGAGGGGGGGAACAAGGCAGTATTTTTGCTGATGTTCAGCCCCCTCTTTCTAGAAGATACAGTAAGCATCCAGTCAAAATATCTATCCCGATGTAAAAATAGCCAAGCAGCCTGTTTCGTTTCATCTGTGTGATACCCGACACTGACAGTATTGCATGTTACTGGCTTCTCCATCAGATGAACTCTCACTGGTTTCTGCTTTCACAGACTCAATTTAAGTACCCTTTACCGGACACCGACTCGCCAGATCACACCCGTCGCTCCCAGTCATGCGGACCTGCCGAACGCTGAGGAAGTTGGAGGCCGCACTTGCTCGCTGCCACCGGTAAGACAACACGGAAAGAGTAACTACTCTCGCTTTTACTGCAGCTGCTCCGATTCGACCAAATGCTGAGTGATCTGCGGTGGAGGGAATCTGAGCAAGATATCGGCCTCTCACCAAAAGGAGAACTCGTGATGGTGAGCTCCTCTCTCTCTCTCGTTCTCTCACTCTGTCTCTTATTTAGTTTGCTTGCGATAGAAATTGGAAAATATGTCTCTGTATGAAACAGTGTAGTTGGCTCAAAGAAGCTCATAATGCATTAATGCAGCGAATTTGATTCTTGCTGAGGTTGTTGTCCTTTGCAAAAAACTGCCAAAGTTTTAGCTTCCAAACCTTTCTTTCGTTCAGAAGCTGGAGTAGAAATCAAACGCAGACGCGTCGAATGGATAAATAGGTTTTTGAACATTTATCTGCAACCCTTCTTGTGTTACTTGAACTACGTCATGTCTGGTTCAGACGCATATGATCTGCTTGCGAGAGCTCCAGTTCGCCCTGCAGAATGCACCGCTCGTAACGAATGGCTCAGAGCCTTACCCATTGTGCATGATTTGCGCACCCGCTGTGTGGCGGATCGCTTTCCAGGGGTAATAATCCCACCCAAAAGAAATCTGGTCACTCAATCCACTGCTGTGCGCAATAGGCATTTCACCCGCAAAATATACACTCAGTTCACTTTGTAATATAATCTGTGAAGCGCTTTGAGACATCTCAACGACGTGGTGTTGGGCTATATCAGATGCAAGGATTATTATTATTGTAAAAAAAGCATTGCTGTCTGACATGACTGACAATTTCAAGTTGTCACCTGGAAAACCTTAAGTCTGTGGTTCCCAACGCCATATCTGTCAGGCGCTTTGAGACATTCTAACATAATAAAGTGCTATAAGAATGTATGTTTGTTATAATAATTCTTGATATAGCACCTTATCACGTCATTGAGACTTCACAGCGCTTCACAGAATATATTGTAAAATGAATTGTTCTTTCCTTCTCCGTCTCTTTCTCTCTCTCTTTCTCGCTCTCTTTCTTTCTCACATTCTTTCGCTCTCTCACGTTCTTTCTTTTTCCTTCTTTTCTTCCTTCCTTCCTTTCAACAGCGTTTGCACGTTAGAAGCAGTTTTCACTTACTGGCGATTGTCTTACTGCAGAGTGTAGCATATGAGCAAAGAAGCTGATGACTAAAAATAGCAATGTGTTCACCGAATCTTTATAATGGGAAATCCCATCATAAAAGCCTAGTGAAAAAGTTGCTATTTATAACCACCATCAGGAATCAGACCTTGCCGTAAAATGGATAGACTTCATGTTGAAGTAGCCTCTGATAATGTTTTCTGTTGTTAGTACAGTGATAAAGGACTGATTTCAATATCTGTGTGAGTGATTGGATCTATTTGCTGTGAGGAGTACCATCTGGGCACTTCATTACTAGGTGTGCGGAGGACTGCGGGAAGTGGGCGGGGTTGATTAGCAATGCCACATGTTGATATGATCAGGACACCACATAGTTATAATAATAATCGTTATCCTTACACTTATAATAATAATAATAATAATAATAATCCTTGCATTTGATATAGCGCTTTTCACGTCGGGAGGACGTCCCAAAGCGCTTCACAGAACACATTGTAAAGTGAATTGACTGTATATTTGTGGGCAAACGCGGCAGCCAATTGCGCACAGCAGTGTCCCACAAACAGTCGTAGATTGAAAATGACCAATTTATTATTGTTTTTGGTTTTGGAGGGATTATTATTAGGCTCTGTGTGGAGTAAGGAAACTTGCCCAAGGTTTCGCCCTGTGCCTGGAATTGAACTCAGGTCTCTCGCTTGCAAAGCGAGTGCTCTAACCACTGAGCTACAGGACTCCACAATAAAGAGCCTTCCACTCTCACGTGTCAAAGAGCTTCACGGAATTTACTGTAAAGTAATTGGTTGTATATGTGTAGATGAAGCCGATTTGCGCACAGCAATGTATCACAAACAGCCATGAAGTCAATGTACGATTTTATCTGTTGGCCAGAAACTCCCTTCTCAACAACAACAAACAGACAACAAATTGTATTTTTATAGTGCCTCTCATGTCGTGAAGACGTCCGAGGCATTTGATAGTCGAGGGTTTGCACCTGAGCTTGCATTCAGAAGGGGCGGAAGCCAATGTGTGGGGGTTGAAGAAACTGGTTCCTTTTAAGAAGTTCAGAAAAAAAATGTGTTAACCAAATAGAATTGGTCACTCACTTCATGACTATTTGTAGGACTTTGCTGATTGCAAATTGGCTGCTGTGATAGGTTGCAAACTACAAATACTATGTTTTAAGGTACATCCTGTGAAGCACTTTGAGACATACTCCTAACATGAAGGGCACTGTATCCAATGCAAAGTTTATCAGTAATATCTTATTATTAATCTACAGAAGTTGCTTTTTTTTACACTTGGCAGGACTGGAATTCCCAGTCTTTCCAACTGAGAAGGCAAACGATTTGGTTAAAAATCCTGCAGTGTCACACAATTTCCTGAAAGGTGTGGCCAAAACCGAGATCGAAATGTAAGATTTCAATCCAAATACATGGAGGTCATGTGTAGACTGTTTGAGCTAACCCTCTCCAGATGTGTCAGATGCTGGAAGCATCGGAACTGAGGCACATGTGTCCAACTTTAAGCAGCGGGAAGAAAAAGTTTCCTGTTAGGAATGTTGCCATAACCGCACTCAATTATAAACAGGAATTTTCATTTTGTTTTTGTGTCCTTGAAACTTAACGCCAAGGTGACCCGCACAAATCACAGTCACTACACATTACAGTAAATTCTTTGACGCGCTTTGAGAAATTTCCCCCCCCCCCCCCGAAGTGAAATAGCAATCATTGAATTTGAAATAACGTCTTTTACGTTTGGAGCACATCTCAAAGAGCTTAACAGGATGTACTGTAACATGTAGTGACTGTGCAGTTTGCAGCCAATTCGCGCACAGCAGTGTCTCACAAACAGCCGTGAAGTGAATGACCAATTTAATTTGTGAGATTGTTGGCCAGCACACCGGGCTACAGAAACTTTCTTGCTTTTTCAAATAGTGCCATGGGATAAAAGTATTGTGCACTTTGAACAGGCAAACAAATATCTCAGTTTTACATCTCAACTGAAGGAAGGCACCCCCGACAATGCAGGGCACTGCAAATGCAGTGTCAGCCCTGAACGTGAGTTAAAGTCCCGACATGGTGCTCGAACCCACTACCTTCTGAGTCGGAGGCAAGGGTGCTACCAAATGAGCCCAGGTGACACACCTATATCAAATGCGAGGATTTGTTTCTTGCACATTCGCAGCATATCGCAGATCATCCACAAATACACAGTCAATCCACTTTACAGGATATCCTGCTTTGAGATGTCTCGACAAAATGATATTGCACTCTAACAAATGCAAGATTTATTATTATTATGACTGCTTTCAGTCTTTAGAGCTTCAATCTACAACCCACCTGAGCCAGGTAGTGCAGAGAAACAAATCACGGACATCCAAAGACATCGAATGCTATGGGGAAGATAGGCTAGAATTTTGGTGGTCAAAGTGACCTTCTCTCATCCTTGGCTTGTCTTATTCTCCATTTACTTTCTCTTCTCTATTCTTAAGTGCAAAACATTTAAATATCTCTTAGGATCATGCTCACTGCTGCCTGGCACGCAACAGGTATTCTAATGGTTAGGAGCCTGGTGACAAAATAGAATTCAACCATTACTGATGACATTTTGAAAGCTGAAGCCTGCCATGAATTTAAGATCTGTTCAGTATATAGTAGCAGCACATGACATGATAGAATTTCCTTCGTGGAAAACGATGATATAAACGCAGACTCTGACAGGCGTTGTTTGTCTCTTTAACTGTTCATCTTAACTGTTTATCTGTCACTTTCGAACCTCTACTGGGTATCAAAAGGGATCTTCAGTATATAGAGGTCTGTTTTTTTTTAATTGGTTCCCAAAAGTCTCTGTGAAGTCATTCACAAGGCAGGTGCTGAGCCACACAGACAGGGAAGCCTAGTCTGTGCTGTTAGCTGATCTCAGCTGGGACTGGACTGCAGTGTGGGAGGCAGGATTTGTCTTCTGCGCTCTGGGTGAAGCAGGGGAAGGTTAGCTGGACTTCCTGTTACTGAGGCCTGAAGTTCCAAAGTCTAAAAAGTCATAGGCATAAATATAAGATAGCCACTAACAGATGTAGCCACTAGAGTTTTGCCCCAAAAATATACAGTCAGTTCACTTTACAATGTATTCTGCGAAGCCCTTTGAGACGTCTCAATGATGGTGCTACATCAAGTGCAAGGATTATTATTATTATTGTTATTATTAGGTAAAAGGGGGTTTAGGAGGAATTTTTTCATGTGGTGAGAATGTGGAAGTCACTGGTCGAAGCTGTGGATGAACCAAATAGCTTTAGCGTACTTTTTGGGTGTATCTTGATGTGGACGACTTCTCGATGACCTTATCAATACTTGTAACATTTACACACCCACCCACCCCCATTACCTACTCTATGCACACCAGCTACCACCATCTTTGTGGCATAATAACTGGCAGTGGCTGAGAACCAGGAAATCGGGTGTTGAAATTATTGCTTGCTGGTAAAAATTCATGGCATGATGGCTCCATATATATATATATCCTCGACATGCACTTAAAGTTGATCGTTCACTGTTTACTTCAGGGCTGCTTGTGGGACACTGCTGTGCACAAATTGGCCTACAGGGGTAATTTTGTAGGCGCTGGCCTACAAAATACACAGTCGCTTCACTTTACAGTGAATCCTGTGAAGTGCTTTGAGATGCTCTCCTGACCTAAAAGGCGCTATACCAAATGTATGAATTATTGTTATTAATAATGATCTATGCACCTTATACTCTCGGTGTGTGCTTCAGTTATATTTGGTGGTCCTCACTTAGCCATAGCAGCAAAAGCTAGATGAGTATCTGTTGCCCCGAGTCAATCAGATTTTGTTTCAAGTTAAACTACCTAACGGTCTTCATTTAGATGCAAGTGGGACACAGGATCTTTCGTGTTCTTCCATCTGACGCTAGCTACCCAATACAGTATATACACATGCACAAATATGCACAGATGGGAAGTAGATTACTGAGTTTAAACTAGTTACATT